GTATATTATTTAAAAATAATGAGAACACATTAAGTAGACGAAGTTGTTCGTGTAGAGAATTTGTCGAAAAAAAATTTGATGATAAATGAAGAAGAATTTCACAAATATCCTAGAAAATTCTTTATACGTTAATGTATACATATTAATAAATAGAGAGCTAACAAACGAGACGTGAATCTTAACATAATAGAATAATATCGAAAGATTCCTTTACTTTTTTTAATCTTTTTATTGAATCATATTTATTTAAATTTTGTTTTATGACTTTCATTAGACTTTGTTTTCTATTATATTCTATTTTCAGAGTAATATGATCTCAATTCTTATCTTTCAACAAACGAAAACTAAGTCAGTAGAGATACATGCTTAGATTTATTTCAAATAACATCCAGTGATTTTATTTATAGATGCTAATAGCGACTGTTTTTATTATATTTCTTAAATTAATGATCGAAATAAACTGTTGAATAACAAAATCAAAACATTGAAATCTCGAAAATAGATTTCTAATGAAATATTTTCATCTTGACAAGTCTTTAGTCTTAATTATGTAAAGTTTAAGTAGAAAACAAGTCTATTGTGTAAGAAATCGAAATGACTAAAGAAAGTTTAGAAAATAAAAAGAATAAATTTTGATTTCGTTTTAGTAAATTATTTCATATGAAAATTACATTAAATATATTTGTATATTTAAATTAAAATTTTCTTTCTTAAATATTATATTACTTACTGCTGATTTGATTAAAAGTTCTGAAAATGTTTTTCCATTCATTATTTGTTTAATATAATCAAATGTATTACTTAATATTGGCCATGTATAAGCAGGTAAAATTGGTTCTGGTGACCATTTATCATAAAATTCATTTTCTTCATTATTTGAATAAGTTAATAAAAGATGTAAAATAATCATTGTTAATTTTTGTTTCATTAAACGATTATATTCATTTTTTGTAAGAATTTTTTCAATTAATTGTCGATTTTCTTCTGCTTGTTTATAATCATTTATTTTATTTGCTAATAATGGTAATAAATATGCTTGTAATTGTGGAAAATATTCAATAACTGAAGATTTAGTATCATGAAAAATTGAATCTAATTGTTGACGATATGTTAATGATGAAAGAAAATAAGTTGAAAATAAATATGAATGATATTGTTCAATAGAATTAATATTAAAAAATTCCCATGGAAAATCTTTTATTTTATATAATGATTGTTTATGCCAATATTGAATAATTGATTCAATTGGTATATTTTTAAGAATATGTTTAATAATATGTTTTGATAATTTATTTTTAAAAGTAAATTCAATTAAATGAAAACTTATTTGACGTAATAAATATTCACTTATATTTGATAAATAATAAAGAAGTAAAATAGATGATGAATTTTTTTCTATTAAATATTGATAAATTTCTTTTTGTTCATTAGATGATTTTAAACGATATTGATTATTTAATAAAAAATCTTTTGATATATCAATATGACCAAGAAATATTCCTAAACTTGATCGATCTTCAATATTTTCATGTTGATTTTGTAAATTCATATTTATTAATTGTTTAGAATTATTTTCATAAAATAAATTTAAACAAA